CCATCATGTTTTAGTATGTCATTTTCTTGGCGACTGTGGGGCCTTGACGCTTCATGTCTTTGGATTTTGTTTCCTTTTTTTTTCTGCTTTGCAAGGGGTTCAGCAATTAGTTGCGGGTAACAGTAATTGAGCCAATACCAGAACGAAACCAATTTAGATGCAATGATGCCAAGACCAAGACCTGGACCGGGACCCGAAGGCAGGAGGGGATAATCAGCCACAGAAGAATAAGTAAGTTACTCATAATTTCCCCTGCAGCTTGAAGCTGGCTAAATTAGGAGGCCGGACCCATCATGACGTTGTCGAGTCGAGTCTCCACGATCTCAGTAACGTCAAACCCACGGGTTAAGGTACCTTTTCCTGGTGACAGACCTTGTCAGCCAGATCACCATGGAACAAGCCCCAGTGGATGATGATGACTCTCAGGTGACGTAGTATCGGCCGATGGCTGCCGCACCCGACTCGGCGTCTTCCTCCACTGTTGAGGAGTATGTGTGCTGGAACTTGTAGAATGAAAGAGGGTTTGCAGTGAATTTGTTCACTTGAGTTATGTACTAGGAGGTAGTAGTAAAAGACTAAACCTGGCAGAGATGCAAACCCTTCAAATTCAGCTGTTGTACAAACAAAGCAGGTAGCAAACAACCCGAGGCTTTCCCCGCACAGGAAGCACAGTACGTGCAGTCTATGAATAGTGAGACGGTGCCTCGTAGAGAGAAAACCGACTAAGCAATCTTAGTCCCCGAACCCAGCCCAGCCCAGCCCAGTCCACAACACCACAACCACGACGACGACGTCATACCCTGTGATCCCAACCCGCTTGCGCCAGCAACCACGGACTTGAAGGGAACAAACAGCCAAGATTCCACGTAGCACACGACGACTATATAATACTACTCCTCATCGCACTCAAACCTGAATAGCTCACATTTTCTTCACTTAACAAACTCCGCAATCCAGGAACAACACACAAACCAAACCCAACCAACCAACCCACCAACTTTTTCTACCACCCCGCTTCCCAACTACCTACGCAAATCTCATCACAATGGCTCAGAGTCGCACTGGAGTTTACGCCGCTGTTGCCGCCCTCGGTCTGGGTGGTTACTACCTCTACCGCGCCGGTGGTGACCCCAAGGGTGCTACGCAGGAGGTTAAGCGTAAGTTTCCTGCCGTGGTCTGCGCGGTCTCGATGATACACAGTTAGGAATGTTAACGCCACTTTCTACAGACGATGCCCACCTCGCCCGCTTGAACGCCCCCACGGGTAACCAGGCCGAGAAGGCCGGAGAGAAGGCCGCTTATGAAACTCGCTTGAACGTTGATCAGGCGGTACGTTTTAAGCCCCTCCCCTCCCTTCCCTCTCTTTTCCCCTCCGACCTCAACCTCCTCATATACTTCAAGGAGAAACTTTGCAACTCGCGCTGACAATTTGTTTCCACGGGGATATAGGTCGACTCCGCCCGCGCCGAGGCCAAGAACCAGGCCAGCCGCCTGGACCAGATCCGCCAGGACACCACCGCAGAGCTGAAGTCGGGCGCTGAGAAGATCGAGTCCAAGGTCGAGGAGAAGGCCTCCGAGGCCAAGGGTGCCCTGTCGGGATGGTTCGGCAAGAAATAGATTTTTCTTTGGTTGCCTCCGAGCAGACAGACCGATCGCTTCGAAACACTTTCGCGCGCGCGCGCGCGTGTGTGAGTTGAGTCGAGTGAAGTTGTGTCTGGTGCCTCCTGGAATATCCTTCTTTCTGTCTTGTTGTTATCGTGTCTCTTTTCTTCCTCATTTCACGGCGGGAGTTGAGTTGATTCCTTTCGCGATCTGATTTTTGTTTTTGTGAAAAACCTCACGTTTGTGTTTCCTGAAGGAAGAAAAAGTGAGGGGATTGCATATGCTTGGCTGGGCCTTGCGTGTGTTTCATTTCTTTTTTTTCTGTTGCTGTTATCTTTGTCGTCGTCGTCGTCGTCGACGGCGACGAATGATGGTTGATGGATGATGTTATTATCGTGATGATGGGTTCGGGGAGGTTTATGATTGATACTATACTCGAGTCGGTTCAATAATATCAATTTCTCAATTATCGTTTTCCTTCTTCACGGCCATTGTTTTGTCGGATATTGCATACTTGAACTTCGCTGGGGCGCAACTGGAGCCAGCGCCGCAAAGGAGCACTGAGCACGAACTAATTCTGCGACGGGATGCTATCACTGGGTACCTTAGAATCAGGACTAATCTGAAAGGCCTAGACTGCATCAGGGTAAATCGCATTCTTGGGTGGATCAGACAAAAAAGGGCTTCGATGTGGAGTAGATGAGGGCCACTTTGCCCGCGGTATGCTACATTCCCAATGCATGATTACTGTAGTGACGGGTTGCCGTGCATTGTGAATGGTAGAGCAGGAAATCTATACTAAAATTGAAGCGAATTGATATATAACATTCAGAGCGCATTTCTAATTCTCGGAGAAATCACCTTAGATTGCTCCAGGCTTTCATTAACCCCTGCTGATCATGGCCGCGGCGGGATCCTAATATTACCGCATTCGGCCGCGACGCCTCCAGAAACACGCGACCCGCGTCGACGCGCTCCACCCGGGAAAAAAGCATCCAAGCGCCCTCACTCACAAAAGGGACTAAAATATACACCCCCAATTTTCCCTCGCCCGTCAAACAGACTTCCCCAGATATTATCCCCCTCCATAAACCCACTTTCCACCAACTACCTTTTAGTATATTACTGTTGTGCATTTCTACCTGCCTGATATTTCCATGTTTGCGCAATAGCCACTTCCTATCTTCTTTATCTCTTCCTTCCTTCTCTCCCTCCTCCTCTGCAAAGAAACCGCGATGCCGCGCACCTCCGCCAGACTGGCCGCCCTTCCCCGGGGTCAGGCCGGCATTCAGACCTTTGCAAGAGCGACCAAGCCCGGCGTCACCACTCCTCAATCGCTCGCGGACACCAAGAAGCAACTACAGCAGCAGCAGCTACCCCTGCCGTCCACGACGAAAAGCACGACCTCCCCCCCCACCACCACCACTACCGCCCGCCTTCCAATCTCACCGTCCAAGAAGCGGAAACTGCACGAACTGCAAAACGTCACCTGTGGCGGCGGACAACCGACGACGCAAGAGGCAGGCAAGCCCGGCCTTCCTGCCGATGCCAAAGACGTCCCAGAGGCAGCCACTCCCTCCCGGACCCTCCGACTCGGCGAGCTTGCCCTCAACACCCCCCGAAGCGGCCACTACGCGCGCTCCTCTGCCCGCGAAGAAGATGAAGACGACATCCCGACCTCGCCATCCAAGCGGGCCGCTACCCACAGGAGAACGACCTCAGCATCGTTGCCGCGGAAGGCGAGTGTCGTCACCGTAGACACGCGGGTCGTAGAACGTCCCGCCTGCGTGGATGATTTGGTGGCCCTGTATTCGGCATTCCAGAAGGCGGTCTCCATCCATATGATGCACAACGGCGTCAATCGCCCGGCAGACTTGCGGGAACTGCTGCCCAGTATGCAGCGGATCTGGAAGAAGCGGAAGGTGGTGGTCAAGGACCTGCAGCGATTGATCTGGGTGATGGAGCAGGGTGATCAGTCGACATCGTCGTTCTCGTTCAGAATCGCGAATTATGGGTTGGGCCGGGTGTGCTTGGAAAAACTGGCTGTCGCTGCTGCTGCTGCTGCTGATGGCACGAATTCACCACTCTCTGCAGCACCGGTGCGGAATGATGATAGCGGTGAATTGCAGGAACGGTTCGAGCAGACGGTTGATCTGCTCTGGGAAAAGGCACTGGATGCAGCGGATGGGGATGTGGATAAGGTGGACTTCGTGGGTACGCTGGGCGTATCGGCCATTCATGAGTCGTTGGTCCCCTTCACGACATTCCGGAAAGGTCAGCAGCGATTGCAGGATCTCAAGGGCGGAGTGATCAAGTTGAAGACCGAGAAGCTGCGGGCGGATGGGCAGGAGGACTCTGTTCCGGCCAAGTCGCTGGATGCGGCAAGTGCGCGGAAGAAGGGCCTGCTGGAACGGATCAAGGACAAGCAGCTGCGACAGGCGAAGTTGCCGCCCCCGCCCACGAAGGATATGCTCCTCCAGCGAGCGGCGGCAGAGCGGGTCGAGGAGGTTGCTGGCGTCCTGGCTCTGCTGAGACCCAAGGGGTATACAGGCAATGGTGCTAAGGCGGTGATGACGGCGCAGCGAACGCCGTTCCGAATGGAGACGATCGTCCAGAACGTCAAGGATTCCTTGCGCAATCCGGTGGCGGATCGAGAGGTCGAGATCTGTCTTGAGATTCTCGCTCGGGAGGATGTTGCGGGACAATGGGTCAATATCGTGATGGTGAATCAGCTCAGATCGGTGGTGCTGAGATCCTGTGCCGATGTGCAGCCCAAGGAGATAGCGGCCCAAGTTGCACAGCTGAAGATCGGGTGGGAGCAGGTTGGCGAGGCACCCCGGAAGTGAAATGATTGTTGGTTGGATTTACCCTCACTCGTTTTGGATGTCGTGATACCTCAATCCGGAATGCCTGGCATGCAGTTCCGGCGTTATGATTGCATTGTTTGAGCATCGCATGTGTCATGTCCTGTATATTAAGCGGCATTTGTTATGTACTGCACTACTGGCATAGCCCCATTCTATCGACTAATAGATATACCAATTCTTGATTCCCTCCTTCATACCATCTGCTCAAATGTATGGATTATACTACCTAGTCATTGGAACCAATTTCGACGTATGTCTGTACTAGTACTGTAGGCACACGAACTCACCTACCTAGTAGATTGGTGAGTGACAGCTATGCAGCGGGCCCCGCTGATTGGATAAAAACCACTTCCGGCCTCCGCGCCGCAACGCGTATACACGTGATCGCGTTGCCACTGACCGCGTCGCAGCGTTGATCTATCAATTGACCCACGCTCCCTCATCCGCATTTGACCAGACCGTAGCCAACAACAACAGACAAACTGGCTCAGAGCTGAAGTCATCTTTGTCCTCGTTGAGCTTTCTGGCAATATGTCTTCGCGGCCGGATCTCAGGGTAAGTGCTCCATCGCCAATTGATGCGATTTTTCTTCTCCCCCCGCCCGTGAACACCATCAAACACGACGAAACACCACGCCTCAAGTGCTGATAACTTCTTGTTGAAACAGGTAGACGATGAAGTCGGCTTCATCCGCTTCTACCGCTCCATCTCCTCCAACAACACCAACACCAATAATAACAATGACACCATCCGCATCTTCGACCGCGGCGACTGGTACTCGGCCCACGGGACGGAGGCCGAATTCATCGCGCGCACGGTCTACAAGACGACCTCGGTGCTCCGCAACCTGGGCCGCAGCGAGACGGGTGGCCTTCCCTCGGTGACGATGAGCGTGACGGTGTTCCGCAACTTCCTGCGCGAGGCGCTCTTCCGGCTGAACAAGCGGGTGGAGATCTGGGCGACGGCGGCGACGGGCGGCGGGCGCGGCACGGGCTCGTGGAAGCTCGCCAAGCAGGCCAGCCCCGGCAACCTACAGGACGTGGAGGAGGAGCTGGGCAGCGTCGGGGCGCTGAGCCTGGACGCGGCGGCGCCCATCATCCTGGCCGTCAAGATCTCCGCCAAGGCCGGCGAGGCGCGCCACGTCGGGGTGTGCTTCGCGGACGCGAGCGTGCGCGAGCTCGGCGTGAGCGAGTTTTTAGATAATGACGTTTACTCGAACTTCGAGTCCTTGGTCATCCAGCTGGGCGTCAAGGAGTGTCTGGTGCAGATGGACGCCGGGCGCAAGGATGTCGAGCTGGCCAAGATCCGCGCGATCGCGGACAGCTGTGGCATTGCGGTGTCGGAGCGGCCCGCTGGGGATTTTGGGGTGAAGGATATTGATCAGGATTTGACGCGGTTGTTGCGGGATGAGCGGTCCGCGGGGACGCTGCCGCAGACGGAGTTGAAGCTGGCGATGGGCGCCGCCGCCGCGCTGATCAAGTACCTCGGGGTCATGACGGATGCCTCGAACTTCGGGCAGTATCAGCTGTATCAGCATGATCTGTCGCAGTTCATGAAGCTCGACGCGTCGGCCCTGCGCGCGCTGAACCTCATGCCCGGTCCGCGGGACGGATCCAAGTCCATGAGTTTGTTCGGCCTGCTGAATCACTGCAAGACCCCCGTGGGCAGCCGGCTACTGGCGCAGTGGCTGAAGCAGCCGCTCATGGATCGCGCGGAGATCGAGAAGCGGCAGCAGCTGGTGGAGGCCTTTGTGGTGGATACGGAGCTCCGCCAGACGATGCAGGAAGAGCATCTGCGGTCGATCCCTGACTTGTATCGCCTCGCGAAGCGATTTCAGCGCAAGCAGGCCACCCTGGAGGATGTGGTCCGTGTGTACCAGGTTGCGATTCGTCTGCCAGGGATTGTTGCTTCGCTGGAGAACGTGATGGATGAGCAGTACCAGACCCCACTCGAGAAAGAATATACCCTCAAGCTGCGCGGTTTCTCGGATAGTCTGGCCAAGCTGGAGGAGATGGTCGAGACCACCGTGGACTTGGACGCGCTGGAGAATCACGAGTTCATCATCAAGCCGGAGTTTGATGAGAGCTTGCGCATCATTCGCAAGAAGCTGGATAAGCTGCGACATGATATGAACGTAGAGCACCGTCGGGTGGGACGGGATCTGGACCAGGAGGTGGAGAAGAAGCTGTTCATGGAGAACCACCGTGTGCATGGATGGTGCTTCCGTCTCACTCGTAACGAGGCTGGTTGCATCCGGAACAAGAGAGAGTATCAGGAGTGCTCGACGCAGAAGAACGGCGTGTACTTCACCACATCGACAATGCAGGCGCTGCGCCGCGAGCATGACCAGCTTTCGTCCAACTACAACCGCACCCAGACTGGTCTGGTCAGTGAGGTGGTCAACGTGGCGGCCTCTTACTGCCCTGTGCTGGAGCAGCTTGCCGGCGTTCTCGCCCACTTGGATGTTGTGGTGAGCTTTGCCCATGCCGCTGTTCATGCCCCAACGCCGTATGTCCGTCCCAAGATGCACCCGCGCGGCACGGGAAATACCATTCTGAAGGAGGCCCGCCATCCCTGCATGGAGATGCAGGATGACATCTCGTTCATCACCAACGATGTGTCCCTGATCCGGGACGAGTCCTCCTTCCTCATCATCACCGGTCCCAACATGGGCGGTAAATCGACCTATATCCGGCAGATCGGAGTGATCGCGCTGATGGCGCAGACGGGATGCTTTGTGCCGTGCAGCGAGGCCGAGCTGACCATCTTCGACTGCATCCTTGCGCGTGTCGGGGCCAGCGACTCGCAACTGAAGGGCGTCTCGACGTTTATGGCCGAGATGCTGGAAACCTCCAACATCCTCAAGTCGGCGACCTCCGAGTCCCTGATCATCATCGACGAACTCGGCCGTGGAACGAGCACCTACGACGGTTTCGGTCTGGCGTGGGCGATCTCCGAGCACATCGTCACCGAGATCCGTTGCTTCGGGCTCTTCGCCACCCACTTCCACGAGCTGACAGCCCTGGCGGACCGGTACCCCAAGTCCGCGAAGAACCTGCACGTCGTTGCCTTCATCGGCGATGGGGCCGACGGACAGCAGCCCAAAGACGACGCGCAAGACGCCAAGCGCAACCAGGTCACCCTGCTGTACCGGGTGGAGCCCGGCATCTGCGACCAGTCCTTCGGGATCCACGTGGCCGAACTGGTGCGCTTCCCCGAGAAGGTGGTCAACATGGCGCGGCAGAAGGCGGACGAGCTGGAGGACTTCACCTCTGCTGGAACCCAAGGCGATGGGTCAGCCCCGTCCTCCATCGACAAATATTCCCAGGAGGAAGTCGAAGAGGGCAGCGCTCTTCTGAAGGAGATGCTGCTCAAATGGAAGGCGGCCGTCGAGTCACCCGGGACGAACCTCACCGTGGAGGAGAAGCGTCAGATCATGCGCGATCTGGTGAAGAGCGATCCCAAGCTGCAAGCGAACAAAGTGTTCCAGAGCATTAAGGCTCTGTAGATTTCTTTTATGATCATCAGGAAATGTTCGGGTATTTGTTTCTAGCGGATAGGAGTTACGGAAAATGGGATTCATCATATTGTATGTATGTTAGGATTACAATGCTATGGACATCACTGGGTTGGTAGAACCGACTGTTGATCTATCTCGATAGTCTGCGCTGGTGCCTTTGTGGCGTTAGTTAGCCTGTAGGCTGCCGGTATCTTGGTTTGGAAGCCTAGCCTCCCAGCCTTGTGCTAAGTCTAGGCAGCACAGGGTGGTTGACTAGGTGTCTGGGATCAATATCCTAGTACGTACTGACTGTCCATCCTAACCTTGCTTTTTATAACTCGTCTTTACAAACCTCTTACTTCTTGGATAGTCAATTTTCTGTGCTGATAGCATAGCCATCCACCAAGCCTTCCGACCCTTCTCTATTCTTTCGAGCCCTCAACCAAAAGCAAAAACCACCAAGGTACGAATGAAAAACCTACCAAGGATTCACAATTTCCCTATAGTAAAACTAGCCTAGAAGCTAACAATATAAACCCCCCCCCCCAAAAGCCATCATGAGCGCACCCACCACCACCATTTCAGAAACCAAACTAGTCGAGCAGCTCTTCCTGGACCTGCCCATCCAGCAAGTTCTCCACTCACGCCGGGGCACCGAGTTTACGGAGCCGTGGACGAGCATGTACGTCGATGCGATCCGGGACGCCCGCTATGGAGACGCGGTCTGGGCCCGCTACCATATCTACGGCGACGTGGAAGACGGCATCGTCGGCGGATCAGGGGGCAAGACGGTGCGGGAGGTCATCAAGGAAGATGCCCTGTCGTACCGGGTGAACGCACCGGAGGAATACTTCCAGGCTCTGGCGTTTTATGCGGGGACCAGCGGTGCGGATGGGCGTGCGGATGTGATTGAGGTCATTGCTAATCTGGATGAGGAGGAGGTTGCTGAGTTTAGGGCTAAGGAGAAGGCGGAGCGGAAGAAGGAGGAGAGGGCTGAGGAGGCTGAGAGGGGCACGCAGGTGAGGTGTTGTTGTATGTGAATTAGGCTAAGCTAGATGCTGTATACAAACTACAGGTCACGTGCACGATTGCGGAGGTCGAGACGCCGCAGGGTTGCGCGGGAGTAGTTACCTGTGCTGTCGCCGTAACAGGGAAACCACTTTATCCTGCCAGCTGGGGAGACAAGCTTCCAGAGACATTCATTGTTGTTTTCATCCCATTTTCCACCTGGATTCTTAGTGTGGCCATCGCTCCCTTCATACCGGCTCTTTACTTTCGCTCTTTGCTCTATCCTACGCTTCCTTACCAAACCCCCTCCCTCCCTCAGCGATGCGCGCAACCTAAAGCGAAACCTCCCGCAGACCAAACGACTTTTGATTCATGCACCCCTTTTCCATCCTCACCCTCGGAATCTTTGTAGCGGGCTACATCACCGCGAGGTGGGATCTTGTCACCCGGCTCTACGAATTAGCGATTTTTGCATGGGATCACGGTGTGGTGGTATGGCTTCCAGTGGCCCTCTTTTGCTGAACGCGCACAACTTGAACCTCGGGTGGACCTGGCGTTTGTTATCACAACCACGAACGAATCTTGTTGGCTGACTTTCTCTCTTTTTCTGTTGTGCTGTACCCAGACACGCACGGCTAAAGGATTTCTTCTCTTGTCGGTCTTTTTCTTCTTGCTCGTCCTCCCCATCAATCATCTGGCGGCGACTGAGGGTGAATTGGTATGCTATACATCCCGCACTTCACAAGCGTCGAATGTCATCAATGCTTGCGACGTTCGCTTTTTGTGGACGTCTGGTTCAAGACAGAGAGAGAGAGGATATGCTGATCATCGATATATGTTGGTATAAAGCACCCGCGCTACGTCCACCTAGGGGTCTCCGCTCGAGAACAATTGCGCCGTCGCGGCTCGTTCTAAAGCACCGGCCGAAGGAATGACAACATGCTCATGAGCGATGGGTTGTTACGGGTATTCTGGCCATACGATTTGCCGCGATCGTCATCGCCGGGGGTGATTGTCGGGTGGAGGAATTCGGAACTGGATTTGTTTGTCTTGACTGTGTTGGAGGGTGTGGAGGTAAGGCTCTTTTGTGTCTGGGTTGTGCTCGTCTTGGGCATGTGAAGAGGAGCCAGAAAATGCTGACATCTTGCTTTTTTTCTTACCTGCCAGCCACGGAATGTCGACAATGCTCTTCGCGCAGGCATCCTCTTTCGCAACAGCCCGCACCCAATTGTGCGCATCTTTACATTGTGTGGACGATCGGCGATGCATGTTCTAGGCTCGACCAACTCCCCAGACCCGCCCAGTGCCTTCAATCCGTCGCATCTCTATGTCACTACGACTCCGGCTTGTAAGGTGCCACGGATCTGGTGCCCTCCGGAGACGAATCTCTCGGTGCAGGTCATCATGTTTCACCGGCCGCATCCGACTCGGATGGAGTACATGTCGCTGGATCCGATCTCGTTGGCGCTGGGAGATAAGGTGGTCGCGGCCGATCAACCCGATGCGGTGTCCAGTAAGATCGATACCGAGGAGGAGCACGACAAGGGCAAGGGCGGGAAATTGGTGGAGAAGCTCAAGCTTCATACCGTCGTGAAGCATGTCCCGTCTTTAAAGGAGCAAGCATTGCCCCTCATCATCAACCAGGTCAATTGCGCCTACGAGATGGGCAAGCTGATGGAGAAGAACAGCCATCTGATTGGAATCCGGGTCAAGAGAAGCATGAGTGTCGGAGAGCGAGTCGTAGAGTCTGCGACAACCCTGTGGGACTTGTTCGTTCTCGGCGTATCCTACGTCTTCTGGCAGTGGATCTGGCCGGTTATCACCCGGATATTTGTTGTCGGGCTCGTGTTTCACCGCACCATCGCAGAAATTGTCCTGCAGATCCTGGAGTGGCGCGCTCGCCCCGACGCTGCTGCGCTCAAGGACATCTCTGCTACCGCTCAGCAGGTTGACATCCGCCTTCAACAATTCTGCTACTGGCCCATTCAATATGTGAAGCTGCGACAAAGGAAAGATAATTGGGAGAGTGTGACGACTAGTCATCCGGACTATATTCGATTCTACAACAGCCTGTGGCTTGTGGCTAATGATGTGATCATTGGGATCGCGTTGGGGTCATACATCATAGACAACGCCAACTGGGTCGCCTTCCAGATCAACTCCATCTTGACGGGCTGGACAGTGGAGGGGCTGCAACGTACCATATCCTGGCTGATGGACTGGCCGGCTGGCCTGAAATTGAACAATGAGCTCGCTGCGTTCCTTGGAGATCTCTTTCTATGGGTGATAGAGAACTGGGCAGGTGGGTTTGAATCTTTCCTCGTTCTCAAGGCAGACCAGCCATACTGATATCATGTTTCAGCTTGCATTGCCAACCTGCAACCCTACCTTCCACATGTCATCTACGTGGTGGGATGTTCAAGCTTCGCGGGGGCAAGCATGCCGATTGCCCTGTTTTCCGACCTGGTGTCTATCCTGACTGTCCACATTTACTCCTTCTACATTGCATCGGCGCGGATATTCAACTGGCAACTGACCATTATCATCTCGCTTTTCCATCTCTTCCGCGGCAAGAAGCGAAATGTGCTCCGCAACCGTATCGACTCGTGCGATTATGATCTCGATCAGCTGTTGCTGGGCACCATACTGTTCACTGTCCTTTTCTTCCTCCTGCCAACTGTGATCGTCTTTTACCTCGCCTTCGCAAGTGCGCGAATGTTGATCATCTCACTGAAAGCAGCGCTTGACACCTGCCTAGCCTTCTTGAATCACTTCCCGCTCTTTGCACTGATGCTACGAGTCAAAGACTCGCGACGATTACCTGGTGCGTATATTCCAAGAATATTTCAGGGCTATATCACTAATGGAGTGTGGTCCATCCAGGCGGGATCCGTTTCGAACTCCGGCAAGAGCACGACAAGTCTCCTGCAACCGGCAAGTCCACGACTAGCGTACCGTATATCCATTTCGAGTCCATTCCGCTCGCGCTTCGTGCCATGTTCGACCAGTACTTCCAATTGGGCCATCGTCTCCGGAAACACTACCTCGCCCCGCGGGTCATCTTCTGCCTCGTCACCGGCCGCTTCGTGCCTCCTATCCACCGTCGCAACCTCTACGGCATGCAGTACAGCATGCTCCCCGCGCGCCGTGCTACCATGATGGAGGTGTGGTCCATGTTGACACAGCCCCGCAAGACTAGTAGTGGAGGCAGCAGCTCCTCATCGATGGGTGGCGGGATTGGCACGGCGGCGAATGGGATCCTGAAGGTTCCGGGGACCTTCGGACAAGGGGATCTGCGGAGAAGAGGCCATCGATGATTTCCATAACGCTTCTATGCTCTGAGCATACAAGGATGAAGTACATAATGCATGGATGGTTCAAGCTGTCTGGCGGGTTGAGAGTCAGCGCAATGAGTGATGGTATAGGTATATAATACAGAATGCATGTTGTTCAAACATCGTATCACACATGATGGTACATCAAAAAATATAATACACGTAAGTAAACAGCACAACTCTAATGTCTTGATCAAGAAAAGAGGAAACCAAGCAAACCCCGGCCCTCCTCCTCCCAAGCCATGCCATATATAACAGTGAGGAGGGAGACGGGATGAGATGAGATATGGATGAGTGAGTAAGAGAATTTGAGGTTTTCAGGAGTTTTTCTGGAGTGGGTTTGACCGCCCCCCTCCTTTTTTGCCCTGTACATGTCCTGAAGAATTAACGCGCCAAAATACCTACTTTCTCATCACCCCTCCTTGACGGGAGGGTGGAGAGATGAAGTAGCTGTTTCCCAGGAAGAGAGAGCAAGAGATGATTTAGATCCACGGAGTCAAAGAAGAAAGGAATTGGCATGAGATGCGCGGAGACCTCAACCTCGCCGAAGAGTCTCGGCGTCGAATTCCTTGGTCGTGCTCTTCCGGGCGTCCTCGAGCATGGAATCGATGCCCTTCTCTTTGAGGACGACCTGATGGTAGATGTTAGCGGGGTTATTCGAGGAGCGCCAATAAAGCGCTGTTCGCGACAGTGACAGCGACAGCGATAGTGACCGCGCGAGAGAGAAGCATGGAAGCACATACATTTAAGCAGGTCTTGTACTTGGTGAAGAGCTCCTCGCAGTCATTGGAGGTGGTGTTGCCGCGGAGATATTCTGGGGGTTCATGGGTTAGTTAAGACTGATAACTGGGATGGGTAGAGTGATGAGGTGGGGAAGAAGAGGCCGAGGCTGGCAACGGCAACTTACTCTCACTGTACCACTTCAGGAAGCAGGTGTCGTATTTCCTGTTGGAAAGTGGGTTAGAGGGTTTTCTGATATATACAGGATGCTTTAGGTAAGGTAGGTGGGTGGGTGGCTGACTCTTTGATCTCGTTGCATTCGGGGGCGATTGAGGCTGCCATGTTTGGATGTGCGTAAGAATGGGTCTCCAAATAGATGTGATACTAGATAATGAGATGAAACTGAATCTAAAGTAGAGGAAATAGTACTATGTATGTGATTTGATATGCTGGTTTGGGGAGGCAAATCGTGGTATTCTAGTTGATCATGGAATTACGTAAGGCACATAGTTACTCCGATGGGTCTTGCTTGATGAGCACCAGATAGGTAGGCGGTCAATCTTGCCCGGTAGCCCGTCCGGCGTTTCTCCACCTCCGAACCCGCCGGCGCCATTTTTTTCCTTTGTTGCGCGGGACAAGAAATTTGAACTGCAAGCAAGCAAGCATTCGCCCGAGATTGTAAGAAAGAGAAGACCACATCGGGCTTTTCTTTTTCTGTCCTGGTGTCTGGGTTGCCTGAAATTGACTTTACAACGAACTGGCAACCATGAACTCCGCCGCAGATTTCCCTCCGTTCCAGCAGCGACTGACCTCCTCGTTGGTCCAAGTGACGCGCACCGTTGGCCAGCTTTCCGCCGAAGATGTCGACTTCCACCGATCCTCGAATGCGGAGGTCTCGGACTCGTTGGACGAGCAGAGCAACCGGCTTCTTTCTTTGACCTCGACGCTGCTGAAGGCGGCCACGGCGGGCACGGATGTGTCGGCGCCGACGCTGGAGGACGACGATTCCCTCGAGGACAACTGGCGCGGCGTCGTGGATGTGATCGATGCGCTGCTGGAGCGGGCGGATGCCTGCCTGGATGAGTTCACCGGCGTGATCAAGAAACTGAGCCCCTCGCAGCAGGACCAGGCCGCTGCCGCCGCCGCCAAGGCCGCGAAGAGCAAGGCCGCCGCCGCCCGATTCCCGACCGTCTACGACTACGGCCCGTCGAAGATCCCCAAGCCCCAGCTGCTGTTCGAGCACCTGCCCGACAACTCCGACACGTCGCCGTTCAAGCCGCTGCTGAAGTCCAAGCCCCACGCGACGGTGCCGCTGGAGGAGTCGCTGAAGCGGAGCGAGACGGCCACGGGCTATGTGCACCCGTATGAGACTGAGATCCGCGCGGCCAAATTCCCGGCTTCGACGTATACCGTGTCGCCGCCGCGGGAGTATCAGCCGTGGGAGTCGACGACGGCGACCTTCGTGGATACCCTGGAAGGCGTGCAGGAGATGCTGGAGGAGCTGAAGGGCGCCAAGGAGATCGCGATCGATTTGGAACATCACGATGTGCACTCGTACCAGGGTCTGGTCTCGTTGATGCAGATCAGCACCCGGGACAAGGATTGGGTGGTTGATACGCTGAAGCCGTGGAGAGAGGAGCTCCAGGTGCTGAACGAGGTCTTTGCCGACCCCGGTATTCTCAAGGTTCTGCACGGTTCGTCCATGGATATGATCTGGCTCCAGCGCGATTTGGGGTTGTATGTCGTCAACATGTTCGATACTTATCACGCCGCCTGCGCGCTGAACTACTCGAAGCGTAGTCTGAAGTTCTTGCTGCAGAAATTCGTCAACTTCGAAGCCGACAAGAAATATCAGATGGCCGACTGGCGCATTCGTCCCATCCCGGAAGGCATGTTCGATTACGCCCGCTCGGATACCCATTACCTGCTTTACGTGTATGACCACATCCGCAACGAGCTCGTCGAGAATTCGACCCCGGATAACAATCTGGTTGATTATGTCATGGAGCAGTCCAAGAAGGAAGCCCTGCAGATCTACGAACGTCCGGTCTACGACGCCGCAACCGGACAGGGACCTGGCGGCTGGTACGATGTCCTGTCTCGCAACCAGATCGTCATCAACAAGGAGCAGTTCGCCGTGTTCAAGGCGGTGCACCAGTGGCGCGACCAGGTGGCGAGAGAGGAGGATGAAGGTGTGCAGTGTGTGTTCCCCAAGCACGTGCTCTTCAGAGTGGCTCAGGCCATGCCGACGGACTTGGGCACTCTGTACCGGACCCTGTCGCCTATGACGCCGATTGTCAAGGACCGGACAGATGATCTGCTGGAGATCATCAAAACGGCGAAGGTCGAGGGTGCTGACGGACCGGAGTGGCGCGATGTCTACGTGAAGCCATCCAAGAGCACGCCGGCAGCCTCCGCTGAAGGGGTGGCGGGATTCTTGCCTGACCCTACCGCGGACGACACAGACCTCCCCACGGCGGCCCGCTACGAGATCTCGCAGTTCTGGGGCGGCGTGCTCGACACGCAGTCCCCACTCCCATCCCCCAAGATCTCCGTGATTGCTTCTGCCGAAGCTCTACGTCTGTCATTACCCCTCCCACCCATGCCTAGAACGGTCTCCGAAGCTCGCGAGAAGTTCGGCGTATCCACTTCGGCCGCCCAAGCTGCGTCCGCGAAACCCGCCGCGACTTCGGCTCCACCGGCGGCAGCAGCGAAGCAGGAACCCGAGACCAGCGAACCCGAGAACAAGTACTTCACCATCAAGGAGAAGGGTGGCCCACGCAAGCGCAAGGTTACACCCGTCGTTGAGCCGCAATCCGAAGACGCGGAGGGCACTAAGGCCGACGAGGTCAGCTCTGCGGCGGATCTGGACCAGGACCTGAACGACAAGCCAACGAAGAAGCAACGGCGCAAGGAGAAGAAGAACAAGGCTGCTGCTGCTGCTGCCGGCCAGACCGCGCAGGCTCAGCAGCAAGAGGAAGCGCCGTTCGACTACGAGGCTGCGGCTTCGATGCTGAATGCCAACCCCGCCGAGCAGGCCTCCAGACCCACGAGAAGGAAGCAATTCAACCCCTACGCCAAGGCATTGGAGGCTCCATCTGGCGTCCGCAAGCAGAAGCGCGAGATGGCCGGCCGAACCGCTACTTTCCGGTGATTTGTCGTCTGATCAGGTTTTTTTTTGAGGCTAGTACGGTACATGCGAGGAGAAAGGGGAAACAAAAAAAGTTGGAAAATGTGTGTTGTCGAGGCGGGGGGTGTTTTTACTAGAATTCGATTGTATGCATAGCGATACCCGGGTTATATTTTGCAGATGAAATGCAGAGCATTATCTTTGTCGTTCGTTGTATATACGTAGTGAATTGGTATGACCACCAACCTTGCTGAAATAAGTGGTCGACTCATATTTATCCCAAGTGTGGATCGACTGTTGACCCACCGTTCCGGAACAAAGAGACTCAAGCAGCGGCAGACAAAACCTTGCGCCTCTGCTTGACCATATACTTGTACATCATCACCGAACCTGAACGAACCCAAAGGGCATTAGCCACCTTCTCTCTCTCCTCCCCCCGGCCCCCGCGCCCCACCAAGTCACCCAGAAGGGGACAGAAAAGGAAAAACTCACCAGGCGCATACAACCCCAAAAAGAAGACAAAGATCCCCTTCACCGCGACGCTGTCTGTCACCAGGGTCGCCCGGAACATCAACCACCATTCACTGGCGATCCCGATGGGGTAGAGACCCAGGAAAAGCGAGTATCTGGAAACGCCGCCGTTAGCAGGAGCCACCTCCTCCCCCCTTCCCCCCTCCCGAGGGGACCACAAAACAAACCACCGGGGGGGGGGGGACATAAGCGGAGACACAAGGGTTGAACATACCGCAACCACCGCAACCACCGCGGCACCGCCGACGAGCCCGCCACACTCAGCACGGCGAAATACGTGTACCGGATGGCGTCCGCGAGGGACCACGCCAGCACCATGGCCGGGTAGACGGCCACCGTCGTAGTGGTGGCCTCCGGGAAGGCGTAGTTGATGGCCCAGACTTGGACGCTGCGGGCGAAGATCTGCGTGAAGGTTGTGAAGATGGGGGAGCGGGTGAGGCCTTTTTTTTTTTCTTAGTTGGCTGTTTTTCTGTGGGGGGGGGGGCTGGCTGGAGGAGACCGTACCAAGGGCGGAATGCAGGATTTCAAGGCTGGCGAGGGTTTGGGTCCATCTTGTCCAGGGCTCGAGGGTTGTGTAGAGGGTTTCCGGGGGGACGAGGAGGACGATGGAGGAGAGTAAGGTGAGGAGGATGCGGGTCCAGAGGAGGGCGTTGATGGTGTTGTAGATTAGGAGGTAGGAGGTTTTGAGAGACATCTTGCGGGGTTCTCTCGGTCTGGATTGAGTGGGTTGGGTGTGGTTCAGGCAATCGATTGTTTCGGGGGGATTTTCAAGGTGAAGGTGCTGGGATGAGGTTTTCGTTGGGTTGGGTTTTTAGTGGGGATGGATTTGCATGTGATCCGGGCCTTTTTGGGGGGAGTTTGTTTGTATGAAGGGTATAGGAGGATTCTATACAGATTGAGAGGAAGGCAGTCAGTTGAATATACTGGGCTGGAGGTGTGTGTAGAAGCTGTTTCTGCATCTCTGTATGGAATAGAGTGCTATTGATATCATCTTCTGACATAAAGTTTATGGGCTACGGTTATGCTTCGATTGGTTTCCCCTACGGTGGAACCGTAATGTCTGCGTTACCAACATTTTATATGGACCTGGTCGATTGACATCGATAGGACATATCAAGTAGTCGACATACCCAAGAAAAGAACCCGCGATCAAGGCCCGCGGCAGGACCTCAGTATGCTGAAGAAACCGCAATGCGCAATGCGAAATGCGAAAGAAAGTGAACTCCCGCTCCGTCGGTAATTGACTTCCCGCAGGCGAACCACGTGTTGACGCTTCGGTAAGCCCGGCCCGTCACCGCCCCCGTACTATCTCCCGTTTGGATTAGGTCTAGTTGTCCGGCTTACTGCCGCCCTGCCGCCTTTTTGATTCACAAGGTAGCCGGAGGTATACAGGGTTATCGTCGTGTTTTGTTCTGATGGGCTAGAGTGCTGTGGAGAGATGCTGCTGTGTGCTGTGAGATATACGCACTGGATCGTCAGGCAAAAGGTTCGAGCGTCACACTGCTTACTGTTCCCACTCTGCATGTACTAACTATACATACTCGAATGAGAATCAGAGAATGTGCATCTTGCTGCTCGGATGTGGGGAGCAAGTCATAGAGACGCATATAGGTGCATCTACCTAAACATACAGGCAAGCTGGGGTGCTAGAGCCAACGACTATTATAGGTCTGCTATAACAAGATCAGATGAATGTGACCGAAGCAAATGTCATTCCTGAGCTTGTCTTGGGTACATCGCTCCATAGCCATGCACCTAACCACATACAACGGAATATGAGCATACCCGCTAGCTGACCGGAACCTCTGATGGTGGACATCCTAGGTGAGGGGAGAAGCAATGCCACAGGCGATCAACAAGATCTTACGCGTCGAGAGCAGGCTCTACACCTACGTGTATGGAGAAGATAGATCATCTGATCAGCACACTGCACTCGATCAAAATCTTGTTTTCCGCGAGGTATGATGTCAACTCAAATTTTGCTTATCACGAAGGAATAGGATCCCCAAATGCCTGGACCACGTCATCAACGATGTGAGATACCATGGTGTCGACTATCCCCGGCCTTTTGGTGGTCGGCAGGCATCTCGATCTATCGGCCTGATCGCCAGGATTCAGTAGTGACCCTGGACACAAAAGCAACAAACAATAAAAGCGGCCCGAGCTCACGGTTTGCGACTACTATGTCGTCGCATGGTGGAGGCGGTGGAGGGGGTGGAGGGGGTGGAGGGACACTAGAAAAGTCAATTGGGTCGCACAAACATGCATGCACTTCTGCACACCCTGCAATGGCACTAGCAGCTGCAAGTTGCGCTTGTGAAAGTTGCACTGCGGGTGTCCTCTTGGAGAATAGAGTTTCTTTGGGGCTGACGGCGGGGTTCGTCCGGTCGTACTCGGTATTCTTGTCGGCATGTCACTGTCTGATTCCCGGGAAGATTGGGTAGGCTGGATCGGTGTCTAGAGGTGAGGAGACTGGGTGTGATTGACAGGGAAAATCAAGCCTGCGTCGTCTATATGAAGAAAGCCACGATGGAGTCAATGTCACCGGATAGACAAACAATACTCAATGTTCTGGTCATTGTCCATGATGGGCTGAATCAAGGGGCGAAGACTGTCAGTTCTGTGCTAAAAACAAGTCTAGATCAGCAATCGAGCTGAGTCAGAATAGGTGAATAGGTGACTACTGTAGGTAACCCGCCTTCGTGGATTGTTTGCTATGGTGCAGCATGAGGCGGGCGTCCCTTGCCCCAACCCAGATTCCAGGTCGACCCATCAATCACTAAATCTAAATTTAAGTTTGCGGACATCCACAGATGGGGTTAGCTTGAATGCGTGCCACGACTGTAGGTGCTAGCCGTCTATATCAGCACTCAATATAGACTCCATTGTTTGGTTAGCGGCTGGAGTCATGATGTAATGGCTCCTCCTTGTGTTCATCGAGGACAGACCTTGTGAGTCAAAGTACAGCGGAGAGGGACTGTGAGTTCGTGGCGACGTGATATTCATGTCGTCAAGAATAGAACAAGATGTGAAACAGTGAAGCATTGGTTTCTAACTTTAGTGCCTTAGGCTTCCCAACAGCAACCTGTAGGTAAAGTAAGAACAGGCGGCGGCAATGCACACACACGCTACAGTACTGTTAGCCAGTTGGTGGCACCAATCCGAGACAGGCCCTGACTCTGGTTTTTTAGGTTGACGCAGGTACCAGCCTTGGGTCCCCCCCGATCTGATCAGGCGGAACTTTTAGTCGACGCGCTAAACTCCTTGAGGAGGAGACAAAAGTGGCCCTGGTGGTCACGGGTCACGCCCGGAGTCGACAGTGGCACTTGCTTGCAGTGCTGCTGCAGCCGCGCAGCGTGAACAATTCAGGGGCACTGAGAACGAGAACCCCCACTGGTCTGATCTGGTCTGATCCGGTCCCAAGGTTTCAGGTCGTGGCTATTCTTACCTACATATGGATATCTCCAAAATGTCTATACATACACACGTACACACGTACACACATACACCTATACATATAACTAACTAATCGGTGGTAGGTAGGTCCTCGGTAGCAAAAGACCACAAATGGCACAAAGGATGAACAAGAACGGTGGGCCTACCTTCTGTACTAACCCTGTACCACACTTCGGCCTTGCCCCTCTCTCTACGTATACCGAGCACTTAGTAGTGAAATCATGAAGAGTGAATCTGCGTCCTGTGCGGAGTAGACCAGATTGGTTGAGAGGTTAAGACTCATTTGCAGCTTCTAGGAGATCATCTTGGAATTTGTCATGCTCTCTGGAACTTCCTTTGCATGGTTCTGCAACTGTGCGGTTCGTTCGCTCGCTCGCTCACCGGAAGGCTGGCGGGGGACAATCGATGCGACTACGTTATGATCCATGTCTCGTATCTGAGACTCAAAAGTTGGGCTTCTCTTCTCCGGGATTGTTGCGTCAATGGTGGGAATCAGATACGAAGTGAATCATGAAGTGATCTCTTTCGTGTCTTCATCCCCCTCAGTTCTGCCTCCATTGCCCCGGCTTTTCCGACCGACCGAGCCGTGGACAAAGTGGCAAGTGGCAACATCCTCCGCTCAGGAACCGAACTCCTGATGGCACGACCCATGGGATCATGAATGGGCGCATTGGGCCAGGGGTAAAAAGAGTTGGGGAAGCGAACCCGGATAATAACTGTTTAGTCTCGTGCTAAGGTTCTACGGAGTAATCAAGGTGGATATCAACTTATCTAGTCCCGACGCAATGTCTTTGCTAGTCGCTTAGGGTCGTTTTTAGCATACTCATCCCGGATTAGCTCGTTCTTTCCTGCTTAAACCCCCTTGCGTCGTCCTGCATGTCGACCGTCTGGCTCTCTGCACTACCGGTCGAATCACGACCTCCCAGGAGATGATCATCCGACTATCATCATTGGTGCAACGAACCCCGGAAAGGGACGGACTGTCGCAAGCATGGATTGGCATCAAGATGACGGGTGAGCGGTACAATCCATTGGTACAGTACGGAGTACTGTGTGTGCATGCCATGATCTCCTCTTTCTCCCGGACAGGATCCGCGCCGTCCCCTACCTGCCAGGTGGTACTCACCCTCGCCCTCAACAGATGCAGGAGTCCACGGGGAGGTTACTGGTGGGTTGCCGACCACTCATAGATTATTGTAAGCATTCTGAAGAGATTAAAGGCAACTTGGCATCCAACTGGAAAACCTGATGGATTCCTAAAAACTCAATTAGGAGGGCCAAAACTGAATGAAAAACGACTTACTCCGTAGTCTGGCGCCGTTGATGGTCTGCCATTATATCCAAAACAGATAGCCATGGATCCCATAGACAATGTCTGGAGATCTGTCCAAGGAGAAGTTATGGCCCGATGACGATCAATTCGGTTAATCTCCATTGTCCTCCGCGGTTACAGTGAAGAAGTGCAAGTACGGAATAACTGCTAAGAGAGATCCCGATATTTCCTGGCGAATATGAGATAACCACGGTGGTGGTGGCGGCGGCGGAAGGAGGGGAGACCGTCCATGGCAGGAACAGGGCATGGTTCGTTTTGATTACAGAGTGGAGAGCGCTTGAGCAACCGCCAGTTTAATCAATCTATCATAATGTGTAGGGGCCTATACAAGTTTATTTAAGTACTACCTACATACATACTAAGTACTGTACATACCTGCCGGCCGTTGAGATTTGAGACACTACAACGTACCACCGCATGCACCGTCCCCTCTTTCTCGGCCTATCTCTGCCGACCAGCATGGAAAATGAATTTGTAGTGTCGGGAGAAGAAGAAAGGGCAGAAGGGGAGGGGGAGGGGGAGGGTAGCTTATGCATGCCGGTGCCTGGGAAGCACCAAGCACCAACTGACTGTTCTGTATGTACCACACCCTTTTGTTTTTTTTTTTTTCTCTTACACCCAACCAGGCCAGTCAACGAGTCAACCGCGTTGCGTACCTGCTTGGCCTTTCAAGGTTGTTATTCAACCCGTCCGCCCACTGTTGCTTTGCTGCAAGTCACACGGAGACCAACTCCACCACCCTTTTCTTTTTTTTTTTTTTTA